TCTGGTGACGAAAGACTACAGCTCCCGGCATGCCCTGCCGAATACCACATGGCTGCATGGAAATCCGGTGATGGGGGACTACAACTCCCAGCATGTCCCGCAGACTACAACATGGCCGCCCGGAAGTCCTGTAACAGAAGACTTCAACTCCCAGCATGCCCTGCAAACTAAAACATGGCCTCCCGGAAGTTCTGTGACTGAAGACTACAACTCCCAGCAAGCCCTGCAGAGTACAACATGGTGGCCCGGAAGTCCTGTAACGGAAGACTTCAACTCCCAGCATGCCCTGCCAAATAAAACACGGCCTCCTGGAAGTTCTCGATTGATGACTACAAATCCCAGAATGCCCTGCAGAGTACAACATGGCCGCCCGGAAGTCTCATAACAGAAGACTTCAACTCCCAGAATGCCCTGCACACTAAAATATGGCCACCTGGAAGTTCTGTGGCTGAAGACTGCAAATCCCAGAATGCCCTGCAAAGTAAAACATGCCCCCCCCCGGAAGTCCCGTATCAGAAGACTTCAACTCCCAGCACTCCCTGCAAAATTAAACATGACCACCTGGAAGTTCTGTGACTGAAGACTACAAATCCCAGAATGTCCTGCAGAGTACAACATGGCCGCCCCAAAGCCCCGTGAGGAAAGACTACAATTCCCGGCATGCAGCGCAGGGCAACATGGGGGAAGGTATTGCGGCCCCGGAAGACTCCCGTTCCCAGCAGGCGGGGGAAGCGAGGCTCCATGGCATCTGCCGGTGGCGGGGGGAGCGCTCCGCTCCCTCCGGATCCCAGGAACCGCCGCAGAGTCCCAGGGTACTCCATGGCCCCGGGATCCCCACCAGGACCTGGCCTCGGTGTCCCCGCCCTCCCCACGACTCCATCCAGACTGCTCCTACAGCTGCCGCCCCTCCGCAACCGCTCGAGAAAGCCCTAAATTGCTGCTAAGGACACAGACAGCACCAGAGTCTCCATTGCTCCCTACAACATACAGGACAGGGCCACAGACAGTTAATCCCGCTGCATTTCCAAGTACCCCTACACGGTTCTGTTTCAGGGCTCAACAAAGGAGAGTTTCCATTCAGAAAGAAAAGGCGAGTCCGACTTTTGGACACGTGGTGGCAGCAGTGAGCAGTCTGAACCGTTTTGCGCATGCATGCTCCCCCCACCCTCCTGCAGTATCGATTTTCGGTCGTGCCCTTGCAGCAGCGAGAGCCCACGGATGCTCTGCACATGCACGACGCTGACTTTCCATTGCAAAACATATTATTTTTGGCAAGCGGTAGCAGCATACATCGCTGTCACGCTCTGCACGTGCACGATGCTCTCATTCTATTTCACTACCAATTATTTTGGCAAGCGACAACAGCATACATCGCTGTCAAGAAATCTGTACATTCCTTCCTGACAAATACCCTCTGAACCCCTTTGCAGTATGGATTTTCATTCAAGCAAAATTAGCAGCGAGTGCTGCAGAGTGCATTACGCTTACGTGCTCCCCCCTCCCTCTTGCAGTACCGAATTTC